ATGCTCGACAACGTGTCGTCGTCTTCTAGTCTCCGGGAACGAACGCCTGTCTTGTCACTGTCGCTGAAGTGTGTTACTGGGCTGGGTGTGACACGCACCCTTACAGATGTACACCATGCGGTGAATATTGGGGGTGACTCAGCCCCCTGCGTCTTGTCACTCCACTGGCACTCCCGCATCCCTGTCGCGTGTTGTAAAAAGCCTGCACATGCAGAACTAGTACGACACGCGTGGGATGCGGTGGCTAGATGTTCCCGCTTGCCGGGTCTGGGCCAGGTGGAGCGGTTGTTGCGGATGTGGTCATTCCCGGAAGTCGGCTGCCCAGACTCGTTGTCGGGTGTCTTAGGCTTGCTTTCTCCAACACTTACTCGCTGGCTACAGAAGAGTGTGGCATGTCTTGATGAAGATCTACATACCACCACGGAGCCTGGGCTCCTTCTTAGAGTTTTAGTAGATAATCTTGGTAAAGATCTGCATGCCAGCATGAGGTTGTGGTAGCGGGTTTGTTATCGGGGCGTGATGTGGCTTGAAACTGCGTCGGTATTTCCCCAAAGAGGAAGGGATGATGCAGCACAGCTACAATAAGTATTTCCCTCAGTTATGAAACCAAGATATCAATCCAATAGGAGAACCAAGCAACACTATGTAAATGGTACCTGCACACAAAGAACAAAAACTTGCAACCCGGCGCGTAAGAGAGGTTGTCAATCTCTCCACGATAAAAAGATAGATTAGTTTGTGTAAGATTGGATAAATAGATCGCTCAAGAACACAAAATAAAATATGCAAATAAAAAGTGCAACAAGCTATTTTTGGGTTTTTGGAATAATAGGTCTGAAAATAAACGCAACAAAAAAAAGATCGGAAGGCAATATGATAAAAAATAGACCCGGGGCCGTAGATTTCACTAGTGGATTCTCTCAAGAAAATAGCTCACGGTGGGTAATTAAATTACTGTTGGCCAATTGATAGAAGAACAAATGATTATGACGATATCCAAGGCAATGATCAATATATAGGCATCATGTCCAAGATTATTAGACCGAAACGATTGTGCATCTACTACTATTACTCCACACATCGACCGCTATCCAGCATGCATCTCGTGTATTAAGTTCATGGAGAAACGAAGTAATGCAGTAAGAATGATGACATGGTGTAGACAAGATCTATTCATGTAGGAATAGACCCCATCTTGTTATCCTTAATAGCAACGATACATACGTGCCTCGCTACCCCTTCTGTCACTGGGTGAGGACACCGTAAGATCAAACCCATCACAAAGCACCTCTTCCCATGACAAGAAAAATTGATCTAGTTGACCTAACTAAACCAAAGATTCAAGAAGAAATATGAGGCTATAAATAATCATACATATAAGAGATCAAAGAAAATTCAAATAGTATTCATGGATATAGATCTGATTATAAACTCAGACTTCATCGGATCCCAGCAAACACGCCGCGTCTGCACCGGCCCGACCCTGATCGGCTGGGGCTTCGCGACGACGTGAGGCGGTGGAGCCGGCCTCGGTTGCTGCCCGATTGAGGGCCCGGTTGCAGACGGCCTTG